CTAATTGCTAGTGAGCTCTGGTAGCATAATGGTTATGAGTCAGGCTTCCAACCTCAGGGTCAGCAGTTCAAAACTACCAGCAGTTCCGCTGGAGAAAGATGAGGCATTCTGCTCCCGTAAAGATTTACAGCCTCGAAAACCCTGTGCAGGGTCACTGTGAGTCAGAACCGACTCCACGGTACTTAACAACAGCAGTGGCTAGTGATCATGAACATTTCTTCATATGTTTATTGGCTGCTCGGATCTCCTCCTTATTGAAGTGTCTGTTCATGTCCTGTGCCCATTTTTTAATTGGGTTATTTGTTTTTTTCTTGTAGAGGTGTTGTAGTTTCCTATATATTTTAGAAATGAGTCTCTTGTCTGATGTGTTCATTGCAAAAGCTTTTTTTCCCATTCTGTGGGTTCCCTTTTTACCCTTTTGGTGAAGTCTTTTGATAGTTTTTAATTTTAACATAGTTTTTAATTTTTAGTATGCCCCAATCATCTATTTTTTCTACTTTTGTTTGTGTAATTTTCACAATGTTTGGTAGTCTATGTGTGCCCTGTATTAGAGCCATCACAATTGTCCCTATTTTTTCATTGATGGCCGTTATAGTTCTGGGATTCACATTTAGGTCTTTAATCCATGCTGAGTTGGTTTTTGTATAGGGCGTGAGATAAAGGTCTTATTTTAGTCTTTTGCCTATCGCTTTCCAGTTCCGCCATCATCATCTGTTAAAGAGACTATCACCTCCCATGTAATATACTTAGGCCTTTTGTCAAAAATCAGTTGGCTATATGTGGATGGGTTAATTTCTGGATTCTTGATTCTGTTCCATTCATTGATCTATGTATCTTTCATTGTACCAGTATCAAGCTGTTTTGACCACTGTAGCCATGTAGTAAATTTTAAAATCAGGGAGTGAGAGGATTCCAACTTTATTCTTAAGCAGTGCTTTGCTTATCCTGGATCTCTTTTCTTTCCATATAGTTTGTAATCGTTTTTTTCCATCTCTTTGAAGAATGTCGTTGGAATCTGGATTGGGATTGTATTATATGTATAAATTGCTTTGGGCAGTATTGACATTTTCACAATGTTAAGTCTTCCTATCCAGGTGCTCCTGTAGAGATCTATAGTCTCAGAAACTCTATAGAGTTACTATGAGTCTAACTCAACCTCATAGCAGTGGGTTTGATTTTTTGGTTTATTGGGTACCCCATCCTCTCGTAGCTCCTATTCTTTGTATCCATCCATGGTATGTGAATTAGTGTGCATAAGGTTGCTATGAGTCGATACTGACTCAATGGCACTTAACAACAACAAAGTTGTTACCCAGAAAATAGTTGTTGATTTGGTTTGAATAGTAAAAAGAAAAATTTAAATCTTTCAGTTGTAGTAATCTAGGTAAAAATGAAAAACTGTAATTAATGGGAAATTAGAAGATAATACCAATATTTAAGTCCTTATATGAATGTATAAACCAGACTATTACCTTGAGTCGATTCCAGCTCATAGTGATTCCATAGGACAGAATTATTCTGAAAGGATTTTTTCAATGATCACAATTGTTGAAGAATTGTTTACAATTGTAAATAAGAGTTTAGTGCATGAGATTGATGTGATTCCATGAGATATAATGACTCTTGATGGTCAAGTTATGTTAAAAAATAAAAAAGATTGGGAGTTAAATCCAGTGACCATGAACTCTTGATATTATAATAGTCTTTGTTAGTTATGAATAACATATCAAAATTCTAATGTTTTGAATTATAATGTGAAAATATTCTATGCTGATACCTCTTTTTAAGTCTTTTTGCTTTCTTTAAAGTGTACAGATATGAAAAGAAAAGTAGTGAAGGCCAGCAGGCTGCGGTTGAGTCCTAATGAAGAAGCTGTTATTTTGAAGGAAGATTATGAAAGAAGACGAAAACTGAGGTTGCTCCAGGTAAAGTGTCTGTGGAATAGGCTTTCAGATTCCTCGTTTTTCCCTAAGTTACTTGTATTTTCAATATTACAGTGTTCTAAGTAAAATTTTGCTTTTAAAAACCTTGTATGTCTGTACTTGAACCCTGGTTCTTATATGTTCCAACAGGGATAGAGAAACTTTTTTCTTTGTTTTTGTTTTTTTTTTTTACCAAAATTTATAACATCATTTGCGGGTCATACATACTTAAAAACTTAAAAATCAGCCTGCTATACTTGCCTTACAGGCGTGCCTCATTTGATGGTGCGTTTTTTACAGACTGAAGGCTGTGCCCATGGAGTATGTTGGTGCCATTTTTCCAACAGCATGCACTCACTTTGTGTTTCTGTGCCACAGTTTGGTCATTCTTGTAGTGTTTCATACATTTTCATAATGCTGTTGCACACTTAATATACTTTACAGTATAGTGTCAACATAACTTTTTTGTGTGTTCGGAAACCAAAAAATGTGTGTGACTCACTTCATTTCAATTGTCATTCTATTGCAGTGGTTTGGACCTGGACCCACAATATCTCTGAGTCATGCTTGTAACTAGTTTTGGGACATTTGAAAACTGGGATGAGATAATAAACAGATTCAAGAATGGTTTGAGCAAAGGGATTACTTGAATTAATAGTTATTGGAAAATATTTGTTTAAATGTTATTTCTGAATTACCTGTAACTGATAAAAATTAGAGCAGGAAGATCAGAGTCCTTTTAAGAAGACAGTAAAAAGATTAAAAAGATGATTGGCTGCTGAAGCAATCTTATTTGGGAAGTTGTGGATTATTCTGTTCTAGAAGTCATTTGAAGGTAAGATTGTTAACTGTGAAGCATGCCTTAGGTGCCATTCTTTCTAGCATTAACGGTGCTGTACCACATATCTGTAGTTGTCTTCTGGCTCTGTCTGTACTTATCTGGGCTGTTTCTGTATCTGGTCTGTACATTTGTTGACCCATGCGTACTGTTGCAGCCTCTTAGAGTAACAATGGCAGTTCCATTAGGACTTGATAGCATGGGAGAGATAACAATCAATTAGAGGACTTTAGGTGTGGTCTTTAGATTTTTATTTTTTCTACATCATGTAGATTTTTTGCTTTAGATAGCCCTTATCTGTTATAATATGAGTACTCAGAAGAACCAATAAAGCCTAAAGAGAATTCATTTGTGGTCCTGTTTCCAAATAGGTTTTCAAAAATTCTAGCAAGCCTCCTTTTATATAATCTGTTAAATATTCATTCTTTAGGTTCGAGAACAAGAAAGGGATATCGCCTTACAGATAAGAGAAGACATAAAACAGAGGAGAAATCAGCAATTCACTCGTTTGGCAGAGGAGCTACGGGCAGAATGGGAAGAAACACAAACTCAGAAAATTAAGAACTTAGAAAAGCTGTATTTGGCAAGTTTAAGAAACATGGGAGAGGGACATCGACAAGCCAAAGAAAATGTGAGTGAGTGCTTTATTTGACTTTCTGACTGTGGCAGTGATTTCTATTAATAGTAAATTATAGTCACTGAGTGTTTATGTAGTAAAAACAAGTTTTTGTGTATAGAATTTGTTTTGGACAACCTGAAGTTTTTAAAATAAATTCAGTACAATTTAAGAAGAGTGGTACTAGGTTTATTTCATATTAACAGTTGTGTTAATTAAATTGTATTTGTGATATTCAAATTAGCATTATTCTATTCCAGTCCTTATCTGTATGGACACATAATCAACTAGTGAATCAGAAGTATCTATTTCATACTTGGCATAGAATGAGTGATGGAGAATTCATATCATTCCTAATACATACCTCTAAACATGTGTGGTTGAATTTATTCACAGGTAAATTGGATTTTATTCACAAGTAAATTCTTTGCTCAGTTTCAGAAAAGCAAAGCTTAGTATTCAAGAATGCTCCCTGACCTTAATTTCATGTGATTGTTATTGTGATTTCTTGTTGGAAAATATTAAATCGCAGTCCCAGAGATAGTCTCACAAAACTAACAGGCTGATTTCAAAGAAAGCAAGTCATTGATAGCTAGTAACTGTGTCCCACCACTAACTTTATGCTTTAGTGTCGTGTTTCCCAAATTTTAGGAATATCATCTTTACAGGATTTGCCCTGACTAACAAACCCCATATTATGTATCTGGAATTTTTTTTAATGGACTCTTTTTTATTATTATCGAAATCATTTCTAACCTTGTTCTAAGTAGTTTGATGTTTCTTTAGTAATATAAGTAAAAATAGTTATACTTACTTTAAAGTGAATTGTTTCCACTTAATTCCTATGGGGTATCATCAGTGGTCTCCTGACCATGCTTCAGGAAATGCTGTTAACAGTGTGTGGGAAGAGGATAATAGCACTGAAAAATCACTTCTGTTCTGATAGCAACTAAGATGTTTCTCTGTTAATCTTTCTTAGCATGACATTTTAAGTAGTATATTTTTTAGGAACCCAATTTGGATGGTTTGGCACAGCGGGCAGCAGAAAGGAAAAAAAGAGCAGAAATGAGGCATAAAGAGGCTCTGAAAATACAAAAAAACCAAAAAGAAATCCTAATGAAACAAAAAAACCGGTACATTAATATTACTTTTTACCATATACTCAACTGAAACTGACTTGGCTGTCAGTAAAGGATAAATTGGATGCTGTATAAACTGATGTTAAATAATTTGTTAAACTTGTTGTAAAATAATGTAATGTGGGAGTGATTTGCTTAGGTGAACATAGTAACAAATAAGCTTTCTCTTTTAGTTGTGGTGTGAACATTCTGGGCTTAGTATAATTACTAAGTTTCTGGAGAATGTATGCTAGTTCAGAATGTTACTGTCTAGTAACACTGTTATCAAACAGAAGGAAAAGAACAAACCAACAACAGTGCAATAAAATCATTAAGCCAAGTTGTGGTTTCTGTGGAAGTCATTTGTGTTTTTGCATGTTGTGAGAATTAAGGATCCTGTCAGCAATGGTCACTTTAAACAATGACCCATTTTTACCAACATGTCTCTAAACTTGTCTATAATAAAGATTGCAAAAATTAAATGTTTCTTGGATTGGTCTCCACTCTAGAGCTCTGGTAGTGTAATGATTACGAGTCGGGCTGCTAACCTCAAGGTCAGTAGTTCGAACCTACCAGCTGTTCCATGGGAGAAAGACGAGGTTTTCTGCTCCATTTAAATTTTACGGCTTCTGAAACCCTATACAAGGTCACTATGAGTCAGAACTGATTCCATGCACACTACCATTGAGCTTTATGTCTTTAGATATATCTCTTAACTATTTGCCCAAATTATTTTTTTGCATGCATGTAACCCTTTAACTGTCAAAAGTATTTTTTAAATGTCTGCTGTTTACAAACTATTGAAACAGCATACGGAACTTGCAGGATGATGAAAGTGAAACATTTCTTGAGATCTTATGTTTTTAATATTTTTACTACAGGAAACTCCTAAAACTTGACTGTAGTGTTAGCTGAGAGATTAATTTATGACATCTTTTGTTTTCTTAGGCATATAAAAGCTAGAAAGGAAGCACTGCTTGTGGAAAAAGAAAGATCTGCTAAAATTACAAGTTTGCCACCTCCTCCTCCAGCTCTTTTTGAGGTAAATTATTCTGAATGCTCAGAACAACTAAGTTATAATAATTCTTCTTTATTCTTTAAATTTTATTTTATTTAAATTTAATTAAATAATTTTATTTAAATTTAAATTTATTTAAATTTAATTTTCAATTGTACAGGTAATATTTGGAATGTTTATAAAAACATCCTAAGTATCATTTTACCTTTAAGTGGTATGTAGCTCTGATGCATAATAACTTTTTTAAAAAGCATAACTACAATATTGTTAGTGTTCTCAATATTATCTAATACATGGTCTGTGTTCAGTTTTTCCCAATTAACTCAAAACATTTTTTTTGTTACCTGAAAATCTGTAATTGCTTTGGGTTTTGAAAAACCATACTAGTTCAACAGTTTTGTGTTTGCTTGTTTTTTAAGGCTCTTTAGTTGTTGATAAAAACTGGGATATTTGTCCTATAGAATTTTCTACATTCTGGATTTGGTTAATTGTGAATAGTAACCATTTTAAAGAAATTAAAATTCAGTAAGTTAATTAATGTACACAAAATCTCATGAAGGTTGTTGTTGTTGTAAAGTGCCGTCTAGTCGGTTCCGACCCATAGCGACCCTGAACAGGTTTCCGAGGCTGTAAATCTTTATGGAAGCAGAAAGCCTCATCTTTTTCCCACGAGCAGCTGGTAGTTTTGAACTGCTGACCTTGCGGTTCGCAGCCCGATTCATAACCTCTGTGCTACCAGAGCTCCTTTCATGAAGGTAAAGGGGTCTTTTTTTTTTTTTCTTTTATTGTGAATTATTCGATAGTTTACATGGGAGAAATTAGCCTTACATTCTTCCTATCATATATCGTTTCATTGCCATGGTTACAATCCCCTCCATGCATCATCAACTAACCAAAGGGTGTATCCTGCAAGCCTGCCCCCTGGTCATCAGCACACAATCCCACTCCCTCCCTGGGTCTAAAGTCCCCAGCTGCTCCATCTCTCCACATCATCGTCTCTGCCTCCATCTGTGGTGTCACTGCTTCTCTGGGTAGGGTCTCACACTCCGCTCTTCTCCCTTGATGCTTCCAGGGACCTCCGTTCCTGGACTGCATAGTGTATCACTCCCCTCCTTTTGCTACAAAATGTCCACCTTCACATTTCCAACTCTCGCAGTCAGTCCTGATAACAATTATTCACCATTGTACCACAAGGGACCTATCCCCATCTCCTTTCATCAGCCCCTCCCAGACAGATTAGATACTACTCAGTGGAGATTCTACCTTTCTCTGCACCCTCTGGATCTAGGCTCCCTCTTGAAGGCTTTTAAGCCAGTCACTTCTTGCCTTTGTAGACCCCTATTTTGGGTAGCCAATGTCCAAGTTGCCCATCCCAGTCTACTCTGTGTGGGGGGTGGGGGTGGGAGTGATCCTCGCTGTAAAGATTTGTTCCCTCTTTTGAGCTACTGCATCCATAGGTGTAGGTCAGGTTCATCAAATTGTATCAGATTACTCTTTTTTTCCTCCTCTTTCTTCTTCTAGTTGAGCTCCAATCATTCAGTCATTGAAGGCAGGTCGAGTGGGTATTATCTGCAAGTTGGGTGTTCTTATGCATGTGTCCTCTCATCAGCTGGATGCATCACTCTCTACTCTAGACTTCTGTGGCTATGTTACTGACTCTGGGCCCAAGAGTCCCCAGGTCTTGCCACACTGCTGGCCAACCAGGTCTCCACCCGGGTTCACAGGAGTCTATTGAACATGCTAGGGCTTGGCTCGCAGCTTCATTGCTGTTTTTGCCTCACTTCCCCTTATCGGTGACGCACGTGTTCACCAGTCAGAGTGCATGTCTGCTCGTGTATTCCCATTGAGTCTCAGTCTTGGAAGGGGGTTTGCTCTGAGGGGACCTGAACACTTGCCTTGATGTATCCTGGGCGAGCAACTTGCTTGTTCTTGTAGTAATCAGTTGGGCTGCCATTATTGTTTTGTATTTTTCCTGTCGGTCTTT